TATTTAGCAAATATAAGCGTCACGCAATTCATTTTTTTTTGTTTTAATTTGTAACTTTTAATTAGTGCTAATTATATTATCAATTTTCCAACTTAATAAATAAAAAAATGATAAACAATAATTAATTAATTACCTGAACGGGAGTGAGTTTCCTGAGATAAAACAAGTCGGCGGACTCAGGTGCACCGCCGGCGGACCTGGCCATTTTCCGGCACACGTGGGAGTCCCTAATGCAAGAACTGATCTTAGCCCAGTACCTCTGATCAGCCACGCGGTCGGCGAGCCAGCCGGAGTAATCCTGAAGAGAGTAGTCAAGGTAAACCCGGTTCATGACGGGCCGGCCGGAGCCCCTCTCGGTGACGGAGTAGGCGAAGACGACGAAGCCGACGAGGGCGGCGATGATGACGAACATGGACCACAGGTAGACGTACATGAGGAATATGTTGCGGTAGCACGCGCCGGCTAATCCCGCGAGTGAGACCACCATGATGGATACGCCGATGATGATGAGCGGCCACTGGAGGAACTGGAGGCAGTCGGTGGTGTTGGCGCGGCTGCTCAGCCATATCCCGCCGCCGAGTATCGGGATGGAGAGGAGGAAACTTAGGAAGTTCAGGAACCCGATTAGATGCTTGCTCGTTGCCATTGTTTTTTTTTTTTTTTTTCTTTTTGTATTATATTTCTTGGGATTTTTTATTTCTTTTTGACAAATAATAGTGGGAATTTAAATATGTACGTGGAGTTGTATATATATACTACTGTGCTAGCTACTAGAGTCACCCCATGAGATAAATAATTTGCACGTAATACATATTTTGGTAAATTACTAAATTATGGCAACTTCGAGGTAAAATTAAATTACGAAAAAATTCTTATTGTTTTGGTAATTACAATTATCTCCTTAACTATGAATCTTATTAAATATTTACTCTTATAGATTCAGTGGAATGTCTCTAGCTAGTTTGTACTTGTTTTGTGAAAAAAATGTAGTTTCTGTTGCACTACAATCTGATATTTACAAGTGAAGAGACGCAATTTATGATCTGGAGGTCAAATGGAGTAAAATAGGTACAAACTAGAGAATATTCCGCATAATGTAGAAAATTCCACTAAATTTAACACCACATGAATAAATGTGTAAGAAGATTCAAAGTTGCAAGCGTGATTGTTATTACCTGAATATAAGAATTTTTTTGTAATTTAATTTTATCTTAAGGGTGACCGCAATTTAACCTAACTTTTTCTTCTGGGGATATTATTGGGCTTCAATGTGTGGAGTGTATTTCCCTTTGTCTATTTGGACTAAAACAAATGGGCTCTTACCAATTGAGGAAAAATAAGTTAAAAATGAATATAAATAAAAAAACAAATATATATTAGTATTTTTGTTAGATTTAAAGCCTATCTCCAAATGTACTGACATATATATTAGTATATTTGGTGGCTAGGTTGAGTGGTCCTATGAAATACTTCAATTCGTGCCCGGACAAAAAAAGGTTCCATATTCAAAAGTCGAGTGGTCCTATAAAGTGGTAATAAAGAGTAAACTCTTGTTCACCTTTATCTCAAACATAAATAAATAATTAATAAATTTTTAACAGATTTTTTTTTTTTTTTTAATAAAAAAAGATGCCATGATTTAATTTACGAATAATGTGATGGGCTTGCAGTTATATGCCTTTTGAATGGCCCAAATGTTTATTACATACATGCGGCAAGGCCCTTTAGTTTGGGTCACTTTTTTGATTGCTCAAACAAAGCGGGTCAATCCCATATCCAAAAATAGCGAAACAAGAGGAAGAAAATAATAAAACTGACCAGATTAATCATTTGTGACAAAATCCACCTATCGACCGTTGACAAGGGGATTCGAATATGGATCAGTTAACCCATGCTCAGTTGCTCTAACCGTTTTTAAAAGTTAAGCCCTAAGGTAAGCTTTATTATTTACAAAAAAAGACAATCATTTTTTCGTAATTACATCCACCTCCCTGCAATTTGTAGATTTCTTATATTAATACCATTTTCTAGGGGGTGGATGTACTAAATTTACAAACTACGGTGAATGGTTATAATTTTTAAAAAGTAAGGGAGTTATTGGTAAATAAATGATGTTGTAAAGAATGAGAGTGACCTAATATTGACGGAATTGGACATAACTTAAATGACCCAGCCATACCCATGTGACCAAAATACGAGAATCCTGCACTCCTGTGGGTCCCATTTCCGGACCTATACTCTATTACTAATATTTCGAATTTAATTAATATTTAATTATATTATATTAAAATGGACCGTTTCGTATAATTGACACAACCTCGTATAAATCTTCTCTATTAACCAAATTAGATAAAAAACACATTTTGGACTATCTCATGGGGCCAAATATCTTAATCCGTGCCCCCCTTCAAATAAATAAATGGCCAGATTTCGTTAATCGTCCCTCATTTTAGTATTTAATTTCACGTTAGTCCCTCATATTCCTACTGTATTGTTTTCATCCTTTATTTCTGTAATTCATCTCATTCTAATTTCCGATGTATAAATTCGTTACCTTTAAGAGAATCTTTTTAAGAATGAATGTAATAAAAAATAAATTTTGCAATTTAAAAATAACATCAAATATTATAGATTTATAGAATCATTTTTAATTAAAAAAAGAAAAAATAAATAAATAAAAAAAGTCGCGAAACTCGGCCGTTCCCAACTCAACACGCTCCCACACAGCGACATCTCTATTTTCATCCATCCCCATATTTTTTGTGTTTTACTTATCCAATCAACTTTCCCCACTCTCTCTCTCTCTCTCTCTCACACACACACACACACACACACACACAAACACACACAGTCACCCACTACTTTGAAAAAAAAAAACCAGACACAAATCAGACAAATAGCCCAAGTAGCAGTTGCCTCAAAGACAGAGCTCTCCTTTCAGACAGCTTTCTCCACCCTTCAACAATGGCCGCTCCTTTTTCCTTCTCTTAATTCCTCATACATTATTGTAACCGCCCCCAATTTCTCAAGTTTTCTCTTGGTAAGAAACGCCCCCCATTGCCTTTCAAAATCTTTCCTTCTCTTCTCTGTAAATGTAGCAGTTGTAAAAATGGCATCTTTTTAGATCCCCTTTTTTATTCTTGTACTTTTCATTACCACAAAGTGATTTTCTTTTCTGTTCTTATTTTCTTGCAAAGATGTCTGATTTTTGAATCTGCATTGCTAACAGAGTAACAAACAGTCTGTCTGTACCTTACAAGTAGGTAGAACTAATCTTTCAAAACAAAAAAAAAACATTTTTTTTTATTTTTTTTTAATAAAAGAACTGCTATTTGACGTTTGTCAGCTCCATTATTGTTTGTTCTTCTGCTTACCCATTAACATTAACCTCGGCAAGAATGGTTGGGTTTTGCAATTTGACAAAAATGCCCTCCATGATTGGCAAAATTTCCTTTTGAGTCCCCACTTTGCCCAAAAATGGTTCTTTTTTATACAGCTGTGGAATACCTCGTGACTACAATTGTGTTGGGTAATAATAAAGCACGCCTACAATTCTTGATCATTTAATTCTAAAGAATTGATTTTTTTTTTTTTTTTTTTCTCTAATTGTGTTATGCTTATATACATTGTGCGTGACTGGATTTAATGTAGCTGGTTTTTCGGTTGTGTGGGGGAAAAAAGGTACATTTATTGTAAAATTGATCCTCACTGGCTGCTGATGCTGCTCTCCTTGTGCATTTATTTTCATTGGATTCCCATATTTCTCTTACTATCCTTTTCAAAAATTTTATAATTTATTTTCTGGTCCTTGGCTTGTGATATTTATGCATTTGTTGCAGGTATTGTTGGGCATTTAAGTATCTGATTTTTTTTTTTTATCTTACAACCCCTCATTTACTTTTCAAACCAGAGAGTAAATAAGAAATGCAGACTCCTAAAGCAAGGTAAGAACCTTTCTTTCTCTCTGTTACTCTTAAAAATCAGATCTTTTGTGTGTGTGTGTGAATATCCCATTCCAGAACTGATATATAATATATATATTTATTCTTGAGTGCAGAACAAGTCCGGCCGGTGGGGGTGCGGCACAGAGGATCTCTCCTCGATCGAGTTCGACGGAGGTAACTCAGAAGAACTCACCTAGTCAAGGTGGTGGTGGTGGTTCTGCAGAAGTGTCGCAAAAGAGTTCTCCGAAAGTGGTGCGGCAGCTGAAGACTGGTCCGAGGTTCTTAGACCACACTGCTTCTTCTTCCAACTTAGCTACTAAAGCACCCAAAGAGAGAAGCCCTAAACTTGCTGATCATCGCTCTCCCAAAAGCCCAATCTCTGAGGTACATAATGTGTGTGTGTGTGTGTGTGTAATATATAATGTGCCTGTATAAACTTTCTGTCTTGTGGGGTGGAAATTGGAATGAAATTTCCGAATTCTGCTGATTTCGATCGGAATATTTCCGATTTTAGAATAATGTTTTTCGTTCCTAAATCAGAAAGTTCCGATTTTTATTTTTTTTAACCGAGTTGGTATACATATTAGATTCCAATTTCCCGATTCTAATTTTTGAAAATATTTCTGTAAAATTCTATTTATGTATTTTATATTATAGGTGATTAAAGGATTGCAAATTCCGAATTCCGCCGGTTCCGTTCGAAAAAGTTTCCGATTTTGAAATAAGTTCTTTCATTCCAATTTTCGAAATTCTATTTTTCGATTTTTTCATATTTTTTTGGAACAGAATTTGAATATAGATGTCATTCGATTGCGATCCGTCCAATTTCCAACCCTAGTTGCTTGTTAAGGTGGTAATGCTAAATATTTTCGAATTTCACTGAGTGAATTTTCTTCGTTGCTAATTACAGAAAAAGCGTCAGAGTCGAGTTTCTGAACTGGAGAATCAGATATCTAAGCTCGAAAGAGATCTGCAAACTGTGAAGGATCAGTTATGCTCCACAGAAGAACTGAAGAAGCAAGCCCAAAAAGAAGCAGAGGAATCGAACCAGCAGCTCTCAGCCCTCTCTCTGAAGCTCGAAGAGTCTCGGAAGCTTCTAGAAAATTCCGGACCGGAGGAAATCTCTGAAGAACGGGACCCGATACTCGTATCCGAACTCGATGCTATCCAGAAACAGCACTCACATGATACAGCTGCGTTAGCCTCTGCCTTGGACGAAATCAAACAACTCAAAAACCAGCTCGAAACTGTATCCGAATCCGAATCTGCCCATTTCAAGAACTCGGAACTTGACAAAAACGAGCTCGAGGATTTGAAGAAGAGTTTGTCGGAAACCCTTTCGCTAGTCGAAGAAATGAAAAACGAGCTGAGTGATTGCAAGGAATCCGAAACGCGGGCCCATGCACTCGTCGGAGAAACTTTGACTCAACTCGAAACAGCCAAAAAGAAAGTGGAGATGCTTCGATCAGACGGTGTAAAAGCCACTGAAGAGTACAATGCTATAGCTGCTG